AAAGGAACACAGTGTGCTACGTATAACGCATATGTTACATGGAATGTACTGATCACCATCGATGAGGAAGCTTTCTTGGGGGGCAGGTCCTCTCGTCGATTACTAGTATTAAAGCGCCTACAAGGATTGGAGATGGGAACTCGATTGCTATCAGATGAAAAGACATCGATGGATCGGTTCGAAATGCCAGCCTGTTACGCGATGATATAATTTAACTACAAGGCGAAAAAGAAGTATTATCTGATTAATAGAATTATCGATAATGATCGATAGAATAATCAAAATTTCGTATTACTTTATTATTCACCTTTGAAATTATTTATTATACATGATAAATAAGTTTTAATTATTCAAATAATGAAAAACAAAAATTTAATCAACCGCACTAAATCAAATTAAATACGAAATGCGAAAAGTTGTTTCTTCATACGCAAGTTTCGTAGTGATAATTAGATTTTCTGGCAAACTCCTGGCTTGAAAATTTTCTTAAGAGTTGAATTTCTATGCGACGCTTCAAAATGGACTTTCCTCAAAAGGGGACTATTGATTTTCCGAACCGGGCCGTCGACGTCGTCGGGAACAGCAGGCAGGAGGCGTAGAAAATAAAAAAAATAAGACCAATGCTCGTGCTTAATCATGAAATGAAAAATATTATTAAAAAGCATTTTACAACAAAAAATAACTAAAAAACAAACAAAAATACGATTTACAATTAAATTAAGAACAATGTTTTAGCATCTAAAAATAATAATAATACAATAATATTATAATAATATTAATAATAACATAACAAACCAGTACAAAAAAAAGGAAGAAAAGAGGCTGACAGTGAAAAAAGTGACAGTGTCGAAACGGTATTTCGTTACTCATCTCGCCCGCGTCGGGCGTCTCATTCTTGCTGATAACGCGAGCAATGCGAGCGCGCACGCATATATAAAACACACAAACACAGGCACGTAGTAACATATACACATACACGCATGTACGTACATCTCTCGGTTCTTATACTTTGGGAGTAATGCGTATAGTATAGGAATGGAATTTAATCTCTTGTCTTGTGCGCGCGCCTCAACAGTCGATTCACTAATGAGAGCGGCGAATGGTAGTGATGGCTAGCTGGCAAGTTGGCGCATCGTCTCTCCTCGGTTTTCGCGACACAACGCGTGAATACGTAAAGATGTAATAACTGATTAATAAGAATAATAATATAATAAAGATAATAATAGTAACTAAATATCGATAATAATAGTAACTAATTAATAATAATAGTAATAATAATGATAATGATAGTAATGTTTAACTACAGATTGACACATGCTTATGTGATATAAATACTAATGGACAGATACCTTGTGATGCCGTCGATGGTAAAAGAAAAAAAAAACTTTCCTTCGTGCACCCTCCCGAAATTAATATCTTCGTCAATTCGCGAGAGAGTTATAACGAGCCTCACGGATGCCTTTCGCGCCGTTCACCCGGCATTCCGTCTTTGTCAAGTTATTTAAAATGATAAGCGAAGGGCGCGGAAGCGTGATCGATTAACGTTGAAATAGCTTGACGAATCAAGAAGTCGAAAAGATAGCTTGACGGTTTGCCCGAGCTGGCGCGCGAAAACTCCGCAGAATCAAAGGATAGAAATGAGATGTTGAAACAACAAACGTACAAAAAAAAGAATGAAACTTATCAACAAAATTTTAATTACTGCGTGTTCCCCGGGCATCCTCTTAATTATCCATCATCCTTGTTCGTCCTTGCTGTCTTCGTATTGAGGACGTTCCAATCGGAAATTGTCCGGTACTTTCGGTCAAAATCGATTCCTCCATTCGAGTCCTGATCGTTGCGACTCGAAGGAAGATTGGAAAAAGATGTTCACGGAATGTCTGCAAAATTATATTTGGGGCGAACAAAGATGAGGATTTCTGACGATCACTTGGTTTGGTAGTCATTAATGCGTAAAAAAATAAAAGATTTATAACTCAACATTAATTTCGTGTAAAAATTAAAAACATTTAATTTGACACTTTAATATTTGTCAAATAACAAATTCGTATTGATTGTGCGATGTGCAAAATGCTTATCATACATAATAATCACAAAAGATTCACTACGTTCGCAAAGACGTCATCGAAATTAACATTTCCCTTTCATCAAATTATATGTCATTTTTCTCATTATATATTGATAAACAATAACGGACACAAAACATTCAGGTCACAATTTGTTCTTCTTCGATCAATAGCTAGAAATTCGTAACAATCGAAGTTAATCGAATGCCATAAATATATTAGCTCAATCTTATATAAATATCAGCTTACTCTCAAATTTCGACTACCAAATCAAGCAATCACGAGATAGCGACGATCACGAATTATATACAGAATCTTTGATTATACTCGATCACGGATATGTTTGAAGATGTGAAACGTTTGAACGCGTTTTGGCTATCGTATTCGTTCAAATTGAATCATTGAGAGTTTCAATTGTTAATAGACTATTATTTTTATCAATTTACTACTTTTACTTAAAAAATTTTGTCAAATGAGTTGAAACATACTCGAAATTTATTTCTAAATGACTGCGTCGAGTTGTGGAGAATTGATTTTTTTAAATGATTCAATGATTCAATTTTCACATCACTCATCACATCTTCCAACTCATATAACAATTTTTCCCACGAGAATCCGAATATTCTGAATCCGAGAACTGTGCGGAATTTCCGGATTCGCGCGAATGGACAGTGATCGATAATCAAAGATTTTGACACATTCCGCGAATTCTTGTGGCCAAGCAATTAGGATTTCGTTGGGATATGCCAGCTAGCCTTTTTCCCTTCACAATATTCCGGGGACGTTAAATGTATCGACAATCGAAAGTCGCAACACGTTAATAATAATACGCAATAGTAATAATAATACAGCAATAATAAAAAATATAATATAATAATAGCAAACATACACGGAATCGCGCTGCGGAGCTCCCGTGTGATTGGCAATCCATCCAACAAAATATATTAATACTATAAAGTTCGAGTGTGTGAATAATGTGCCGGCACGAACCTAAAACGGCTGCGCGACAATTAAGGTGGGAGGGTGGTGTGGTTGTTAATCGTTCGTGGCTCAGGGCGGATGGTGAATTTCGTCGACATTCAAAAAAACGTAAGCAGGAGAAAGACGTTTTTTGTTAAGCACAGCTAAGAAGAGAGAAGAAACAACGTGCCTTTCAAAACTGCGTGACTATCGAAAGAACAAAGTACAGTGCGAGAAGGAAAGTCTTATACGGATCACTAAACGACTAATAACTACTATGTTCTACGAGATACCACTACGCTAAAAAAAATAAAATAAAATAAAAAAAAATTATATAAAATATAAAATAAAAAAGAAACGAAGGACGAGGGTTTCGTCGAAGGATGGGAATACTTGGAGAAAGCAATGATCCGCCTTCTACTTTCGTTCGTTGACGAGGATAATGATAAATGTAATTGATCGCGTTATTTTGCTACGATAGCCGAGAACGAGCTCCGATGATCTAAAGCATCGTTACGCGCGCCGGCTTCGGCTTTTCTTCACGCGCGGATACGATCAACGCCAAGCATTCTACTTCTCTTCTTTGAGATTCGACTCTTATATAAATATTACTATACCATTTTGGTCTCTACGGACTCACTCGAGGATTTCTGTGTCTTTGCGAATTAAAGAATCCCTTATATTCGTCAATTATCCGCGTTATCTACGTGCGAATGAGTTCGCGATTTCTAAGCGTTAACGCAATTTGGCATAATGGCTCACGATAGAAAAAAAACAAACAAGCATTTATTAATTCTTCGCGTGAACCAGCGAAGAATTTAACAAGTTAACGCGGCTCGGCATCGCGGAAACAAAAACGACACGAACGCACGGACTCGGGGCAGAGATGTTTTTTTAACTTAAGCAAAAACTAAGATAATAATACAATCGATAACAGTAAGTTAAACTGATGAGACGAGAGAAGTGAACGTGCGCGATGACCGTTCAACGACGTCGTCGCTGTCATAATTACGAAATGCACCTCAGGATGAGTTTCCGTAGGAATTGTCGAGAAATCATTACACAAACAAATAGGGGGAGAGGAAAAAGGGGTTCTATCCAAAATGGACTGTGAGAAAATTTCAGTGGCAGGGGATACCGGCCGATCTGTCGATCTGCAAACGCATAAAAATGTCCTGTCGTCTTGTTATTCGGAATCCACGGGACGATTTTCTCACGACGATTCCTGACTCAATCGTCGTCTGGTCTCGAATGATCGGCAACGATTTTAAACGCGTTCAAGCATGATCCAACAATTAAACGATCCAAGCTTGTTACCGAAATATGTCGACACTATATCGAAGTTTCATTTGTATATCTTTCTCGAATTATCTGTGTGAACATAATAATGCACGGATTAATTTCGAGTCTTACGCAGAGGGGTGTAAGATCGGGGGCGTAATTATTTGTACAGTTAGCGTACGCAAAAGTTCCGGAAACAAAATCGATAAAAAAAGAAAGAAAAAAAAAAGAAAGAAAAACGCCGATAAACCATGCAAAGCATAAGAGACCATACGATTCTTGCGCGATTGTGGGATATGATTGAGTACCCGTTTAAAGACATCGTGTAAATCGTTGAGTTTGACGGTTTCGTGTGGATCTTCCAGTGGATCTCTCAGGAGAATGCGATGAAACGGGCTCTCGCGCGACAACGCGTTCCTCGCGGACTTCGCGCGGTACTCGGTGAGGGGGGAGGGGAGGACATTTCGAACCGCGGCGACCGGAAGTGAATCGAACGCGACATCGCTCTCGATCGTCCTCGGTCGACCGCCGTTGGAGAGAGGTAACAAAAAAACGTGTAAACGCGCGCATTAATTCCGGCACGCGCGCGTCATGTGTGGACTGTGTCGTCGTGACGAATAGAAGCGTACTTCTCGGTGTGATCATCGGACGAGGTCTCAGAGAGAAGATCGTGATTAGTGGCGGGGGGGGGGGGGCAAGGAGAATATGGATAAAAAGATGGGCAGTAGGGGGGAGGGGGGGAGGATTGGTAACGGGTGCGAGGGAGAAGAGAGGCGGAGGGTGGAAGGCGAGGGGGAAGTGACTAGCGGCGGCGAGCTCTACAACTAAACAACAACAACAGTATTTTCAGTATTATAACAACATTAACAAGTAAGTTATCGCGCGCGCGCACGCGTTTACGGCGCGTACGCGCGAAGAAAGGAGCGCGCGCGAATTTGTCGGGGCAGGGTTGATTACGTCCTCTCTCTCTCTTTTTTTCTTTCTCTCTCTCGTTGCAGGTCCTCGAATCCAGCGTCGCGAGGGCTACACACAAAGCGCCGCGCGTTTTCTCTCCTGTTCTCCGTTCGCCCGCGGGGGACGAATGGAACTGCGACTCGCGCGAGCGCGAGAAGGGTATCAGCAAGGAGGAGAGCGCGCGCTTTCTCGCATACCGTCGATGATGTCCGTTGTTCGGCGGAGTCCTCAGGAGGAGCGCCTCGGGAAGCTCCGACGAGAATGCCCCGTTCTTACCGCGAGAACGACACTCGCACGGGAATCGATCTCTCTCGAGTCGCGTATGCAGCTTACAGTGCGCTCCATATCTCACGGTCGTCGGCGGTTCGTGAAACGTCTCGTGGTAGACGAGGCGGGCGAAGAAGGCGATGGGCAGACTGGCGGCGGTGAATCGAGCGCGCGAGCGTTGGCGGTAGAGCGGCCGTAGAAGAAGACAGGCGAGCGTAGGTGAAGGGAAAGATCGACGCGATCGCGGTGATCCCGCGGCCGTGGAGTAGCGATGATAATGGTACGATGACGAGCGTTGACACTTGGCGCACGACGATCATCGTCGTCGTCGTGACGCGTCGCTGCTCTACATGCCGATCGGCGGTACTTGCACGTAGCGGTATATGTACAGACGATAGTCCTTGCTGGCGAGCACGACCGAGCCGTCGTCCATCAGCGCCACGTCGAAGCACTGCGCGTGCTTTACTTTGCTCTCGAGGGCGGAAACCAATTGGCCCTCCTGCGTGAAGATGGTCAGGTTGAAGTTGTTGTGATTGTCCGCTATCAGTATCTCGCCATGGGTGTTGATGCCCACGCCGATCGGATAATTGGTGATGCCCTCGCCGCCGATCTGTCGCAGATAAGCGCCCTCGTAATTGAAAACCTTGACGCAGTGCGCGCGGTTGTCGCTGATGAAGATCTCCTGTTTGTCGTTCACTACCACGCCATTCGGAAACTCGAGATGCTTCGAGCAGCCAAATTTCTGCAGTACGTTGCCGGTCTGGTCAAAAATGATGACGCGCATTACTTTGCACTCCACCACGACGATTCGTCCTTTGGAATCAACGGTGACGCCACGCGGGTGTTGCAGGATGTTGGCGCCGAATTTGCGTACGAATTGGCCGTACTGGTTGTAGATTTGTATCTGATGAGTAGGTGAGCGCTCGGTAACAATGATATCACCAGATGTTTTCACGACGGCTACTCGATTCGGATATAGCAATTGACCATCACGCTTACCGCATTCACCAAACTGGAACTTAAACCTGCCCTCTTTGTCGAAGATTTGAATGCGATGGTTATTTGTATCGGCGACAATGATGTCGTTCTGCGCGTTCACTGCAACGCCCGACGGCTCCGTGAATTGTCCCTCCATAACGCCGAATTCGCCGAACTTACAGTGATAGATCATCTTCTGCCGTTTTATCTGCGATTTAGGCGGGAATATCGCAGTGGCGGACATCAGTTTCGACGTTAGATCGAGGACGGATTCGCCGGGGGCAGCGTTCGCCGCCACAGCCACCGCTGACGGCATCGCGAAATGATCATTCGTCGTCACGACCGGGTAAGTGTCATTTCCACCGTTGCTCCATTTCTCATACGGATTGGCGTTCATGCCGTTCAGATTCACGTCGCTGATCGTCGTGGAAAACGGACCCAGACTGTTGGCCGAGCTGAAGCGTTTCGAGATCACGGTGCTGATAGTATCGATCGAGGACGGCGACGATGACGAGCCGCAGTTCATACTGGAAGAGATCAGGCCATTGCTGTAAGACTGGCGATCGAGAAGTAGACCACCCAGAGCACTCGCGCCGCTTCCCGGCCCGTTGCTGATATTGCCGCCGCCGCCGCCGCCGCTGCTGCCGATGCCGTTGCTCGATAGCGCGGTGGGTCGCGCGATCGGCGGCTGCTTGCCGATCGAGCCGGTGCTGTTTTCGCTGTTACTGTTGCTACGCACATAACCGAATGTGTTCCTCACGCCGACCTGAATGGCCTGGTAATTGCTGACGAACTCGAGGTCCGCGGTCTGATTTGCTATGTCCGCGTTCGGTGAACAGGTGAGCAATGATTGCAATTTGGATTCAAGAATCTTCTTGACCATGAGAAAGTCGGTGATGGTGGTGACTTTGGTCACTCGTTCGACAAAGTCGCAGGTCTGCATTATCTTGTCCGCTGACTCGGTGGCTCGCTGTCCGAGCACGCTCAGGGAAATCTGCTTCGACGAGAATACCGATTCGAGTTCCTTCAGCAGCTCTTGCTTACGCTCGTCCAGCATCGACCGATAAAATTGGAAGGTGTCGTTGATCTCGTTCTGCGCCTTGTGGTACTGCACCTGCAGCACTGCCGCGCTGTGCTCCGCCGCCTTGACGGTCGCGCGCGCGTCCGCCGCTTTCGCGCGGCACTCCTGGATGGTGCGCGATAACGCCTCCAATTGCTGCGTGCCCGCCTCCGAAATATGCACGCACTCGTGCAGAGGCGCCGTATGCTCCGTCAACGTGCACTCTTTGCAGATCGGTACGGTGCAAGTGCGACAGAAATACTTGAGTATCTCCTGCTTGTGCCGCGAGCAGAAGTGTACTTTTTCGCCGTTACCGCCTGTGTTGGTGTTGCCGCCGCCGTTGATCACCAAATTGTTACCTCCGCTACCGCCGCCGCTGCTGCCGTTGCATGCATTCTTCGATAGTTCCGTCGTCGCGGTGATCGTGGTGCTACCACCACCACCGCCACCACCGCCGCCGCCGCCGCCGCCGCCACCGGTGCCGACGGTCTCCAACTTGGAGTCGCCCAGGTTCAACACCCGGTGACCCTCGAAGCAGTGCATGAATTGATGCGCCATCACGCAGTTCGGACAGAGGAAATTCTCGCAGTCGTAGCAACGCGCCACAGCGCCGGCTTCGGCCGTGGACTTGCAGCCAGTGCAGCGGGTGCGACCGCCGGTGCCGCTGGTGCTACCCAGCCGACAGCGTGGACACGGATCCTCGCCCGGCTTCGGCGCGTCGAGGCACAAGTCGCAGCTGTCGACGTCGCAGATCGCCGAGTCGCTAGCAGGCGGCGAACTGCCGCTCACCGTTACCGGGGACAGCGAGACCGGGGACCCGAGGGAATTCGCGCGCGATTCCAGCGAGGGTGTCGGCGAGGCCATCTTCAGTCAACCGGCATCCCTGCAAAAAAAAAAGGAATATTTGTTATAACATCGTGTTACATTACGTTTGATAATTATATAGGCCGTCAATGAAAAACCGTTGCGATGTCTTTCTCGACAAAATTAAATCGTCATTCGACAATTCACTAATTTTATACGACTGGATAAATATTTTAATAAAATATTTATATAATACAATATTCGTGAATTTCGAATTTCCATTAATCGGCAATTAATCTTAATTAAAATGCCATTGATTATTAGAAACGTTCTAATTTAGCGACACAGTCGATTAAATCTATCTTTCTTCACATAACATACATTTGTCTAAAATGACGTTTCAATAATATGGTGCTTTTAGTAATGGAATTATTTCAATTTGTGCAGCTGGTACCCTCCATGAGATTTTGCAATAATGAAAGCGCGTATGTCTACTGTAATAACAGTAATAACGTTATAATAATTTCAACTATCGGTCGCTGTCGGACCGTTCTCGAGAATCGTCGTTGTAGTTGTGCGTAATCGTTATTACGGCGTTTTCCTATCTCGAAGGTTCCTTTTAATGCGATTCCCACGCGCGCGCGCGCGCGCGCCCTTCGTACCTCCGCAACCCCCGACGCGCGGCAGTTATTCGCGCGGCTCGCGACGAGAGGCGAGGACTCGTCCCTCTAATTAAATCGCTCGAGCCGGACGGCCATGTTTCACCTGGCAGTCAGAAGAGAAGAGCGATCGGTCGGAGGAAAGGGAACCGCCGCGCGCCGGCGGCAAAGGAAAAGGAAGAACGAGGGAGGACTGGTATAGACCGCGAGTCCAAGGTCACGAATGCGAAGGTTATCGTACTTCTCTCCCACCCAGTCGAGCGAATTTATCGGGTGCCGCGCGACGACACGCTCGCTTTTCCACGCTTGGAAGCCGTAGAAGCGAAGAAAGCGGTAAAACACCGTGGAAGAAGAGAGATGGGGATCATTTTTCATCCACTTCAACCGCGCCGAGCTGAGTCTAAACGAAAAATATTATTTCCCGGAAGCTTTTCCCGACAAGCCGGCTGTCATCGACGAGATAAGAATTTGACAGAGAGAATCGTCACGTCAAAATCGTCCCGTTTTTTTTTTTTTTTTTTGGTATTTCTCGAGTGAGCCGAGCGGTCAAGAAACCAACCGACGTTATTAGGAACGGACTGCAGCGTGAGAGAGAACAAAAACGAGAAGCCGCGGAGGGGAAGCGACGGAGGTGAGGCAAACAGAACAAAGAGCATCTGCTCTCGCGCGCTCCAGGAAACGCTTTTGAAGTTACTACACCAGCGCGAGCGCGACCGGCGCGCGCCGTCTTCGTGCAAGAATCTCGATTAACTCCCGAGATAAAAGGTGAACGCTCCTGAGGGAAGCGTCCGTGGAGCCGAGGTCGCCGGAAAGCCGCGTTTAACATACCGAGGCCGAAGAAGTCGCGAGGAGAGCACAGCGCGTGGAGGCCGCGCTCCGAGCGTGCAGCGGCAAGCAAAGCTCGCTGAAAGCGAGTTCACGCCGCTGCGCATCGTGGAATGTCTGCATGCGTAAAAATAACATGCACACGGAATGTTGAATGTTCCGAGCTGGCTGGAATATTTTTATATAGAGATGCGCCGAATATATATACGCGTCGTAGTAACGCGTATATTATATTTTCTCGATATATAGAGTTAATATTTTTTACAGAAAATTTCCAAGCTCTTCTGCAAAAGCTCCGAAACACAAGTTTCTTACGTGAGATTATCGAGATTGAAATATTGACTTGTAATATGTAACAAAAGTATCAATTATAACTAGATTTCGTAAAAAATCATTACGCGAAACGCGTGATGTGATGAAAAGACCAATTACAAATCGTTCAAATATTGCTTATTAAACGTAAATTCATATTGCATGCTGGAATACTCCGCATGTATGTAATTCAAACAAATTCAGACAAATTAACAGAAACAGAAAAGCCGCGGCCATGTTTTTTCGCGTTGTTTTGCGATAAAATAAAATCTGCAATACGTTAAAAACTTCGTAGCTCTTTTCCAATCGCTTCCTTCTTTTTTCATTTCAACGTTCGTTTTTTAATTGTTGCTTTAATCGTTGAAGATCGTCAGGGTGGAAGAAAGAATCAAGTATTTTTAACGGTCGTGCGCGTATGACAAATCACATACCGCGACGGGGATGCAGCGGGTTAATTCCACGTCACGCGGAATAAAGGGCGGAATGGAAAAAAATGTACCGATGTTCGGGGGGAGAAACGTGTCCTTGGCGAGGATAATTCCCGTTATCGAGGTACCCGTTGCATTTTCGAACGCGGATCGCAGCCGACCCACGGTTGAATGCACCGTGGGAAGGGGTGGCGGACGGCGCGTCTGGTTTCCATGGTAACGCTGCATCGACCGCCCCAACCCTTCGAAACCCAGGGTTGTTCCGACGAGGGTCGAGTCCGTTGCCACTCGCTGTGGTGGTAGTAACGATGGCGGAGCGGAGAGAAGAGAACAACCGAAGGGGGATGGCAACCGCCCCGCGGGAACGGTAACCGTTGGTGCATCGCCCTTCGACGCAACTCCGGTAGTGCGTGCTTCTCTAAGGGGTGATCGAAAAGAACCGTTCCAGGAGTACAGATCTCGAGGAACGATAAAAGGCAGAAGCGAAATCCAGCGAAAAATTTTCCCCCTCGAAGCAAACTCATGTAATTTTCGATGAAGTTAAGAGTCTATAAACACAAGGGGATTACAAATCTTTTAAACGTAGTTAAAAAGCCGGTTGTAAATTTCCTTTAAAAAGCATTTTAAAAGATTTACTAGGCAACGCGCACACTCTTGTAAAACCTTTGGCAAATTGTGTTCGTCGGTAACAATTTATAATGCTTTGTAATTTATTTAAAAGTTTTAAACTCTACTTGGAATTCAACTTTGGTATTTGGGGAGCTCTCTTCCCCGAACTTTCTAACTTTAGAATATATTTTTGACTCAATATTTTCGTTGAGGGAGAAATCGCTTTAAAGTGAATTGAAGCTTCTACAAACAAAAATCTCTTTAGAATCACGAATCTCCGCGACTGTTGAAAAATTAAAGATAAAGGATATTCGTGGTGTCACGCAGCAACAATTGCATCAAATATAGAAGCCGGGGCGTGAACTCCGGCCGGTAAATTCAATGTCACTGTCGGATGATTCTTCAGCCCCAAACGAGGGGAGCGGTCACCACCACCTGCCCCCCTCCTCCACCCTCGTTTGATTAACGTTATTTCGCTCGACGGGCGAGCATCGACCGCGATCGATACACGGCGCGGCGGTGGCGGCAGCGACGGCGGCGGTACAGTCACGTTGCGAGCCGAGGAACAAGGAACGAGAAACGAGATGAGACAGACGGAGCGGGCGAAAAGGCCATCGGCCTGCGCCGCAGACGGATTGGTAACGGCTGCGGCGCTGTGGTTATGGGAAAGGTGGGCGAGTGAATGCGATGCGATGCGAGCGAGATGGATGGATAGAAACAGAGAAATTTATTGCATCTCGGAGCTCAAGACTCTTCAGGCCTCGTATATTCAACATAATGTGTGATACGTGGAAACAATATTCGAAGAAATGTAGACGCAAACTAGTCATTTGCACGAGTGTTGGTGCATTCAGAATGTTTAAGCTTGAGAAGAATAAGAGAATGTTCACGAGAGAGGAAAATTATTCATTACTGCTTACTTTGAACTGATGCAAATTGAGCTCGGAATTGAGCTCCGTTAAAATAAAAGCAACAAATTAATAATATTAAATATTTATAGTGAATTTTTAAAGGTGTGTATTGCATATATGTATGCATATAATAAATTTATAAAGCATACAAAGCATTACAAATGCATATATAATTTATAATTGATAAAATAAAAGCAGAACATCTAGTAAAATAATCAACTATTAAAACTTAATGTATGAAGCTTCGATGCTGTGTTATCGCATGAAAAAAAGAAAATGCGCTTTATTCTTGAAAGGAAAAAAAATATTCCAAGTCAGAGAGTAGGATAGAATGAGACGGAAGCTTACCAGACGCCAGATCGATCGTGTCTGCGTGCCAGCGCCGGGAACGGAAACGGAAGTGGTTGTAACGAGATCGTTTAGGTCCCAACGCACTGAAGAATTTCTAACGAGTGGAACATTTTTGTTCCAAGATTGGCGCAAGTAATTTTTTTTTAAACAATATTTAATCTTTAATATTAAATGAAAAAAAATAACATCCTCTTACGCTCTCCGATATTGCTAATAATTTGTTCATGATATTTAGGAAAATTTTATAATCTAAGAATTTTTGTTTTCAACTAATAGCTTGATAATTGAGAACTCAATTACTAAACCGTGAACTCTAAAGTCCACTAATTAATATTTCAAAATGTTGAAAATTTTTTGTTTTGTATAAATTTGATTAACGCTATATCAAAAAATATTTTCACGTGCGATCAGAAATTTTATGTTTACATAATTCTAAATGATAGAGTTAACATCTTAATCCTGAGTGATATTAATAAAATATATGACATATACACATATAAATATAATAAAACATATACCAATAATTCAGATAGTGTCAAAAAATAAATTGTTTTGTGTTTTGCATTTTATGTCTTCAATTCTGAATAGTTCACGGAACAAAATGCATCGCGAGCACAATTGCATTTCTTTTAACACTAAATCGGGCGAGTGCTTTTCACGAATGGAAGCTTCGAATCCTCTCTACTATCAAGCCTTGATTCGCTGATGCATTTTGACCTCTAAAGTGCATCAACGCCGCGCTTTCCGGAAGTGTCGGTCGTTTCGCTGCTGGAGGTTTACGAGTGCGAAGTTACGATGCTACGTGGATGTTCAGTTCCGCATGCGGAATACGTGAGGTCACTGTACTGCCAACTTCTCGTTGGCAGAAGGTCGCGAGAATTGCAAAATTGATTCTATATATGATATCCTGATGACTTCATCAGGATAATGTGTTTACGAAAATAATAACGACACACTTAAATTTTTAAACGGCATACAATTGAA